TGTCGCCGATCTGTCCATCCACTATCTTCGCTCTCGCAGTTGGTCCAGTCTCCCCTCCAACTTTCTACTCGCACTCCCGTTACTGCAACAGCTCCTCATCATCTGTGGAAAGAGCTGTTCAGAAGCAGAATTTTACGCTCTCTGTGACAAGGTTACAAGGGCCGTGAAAAACCATCCGGCCGTTGCACTTCAACATAACCCTGACATGCCGGATGGGAGGTTCCTGCAGCCGGCGCTATTTGGTCTCGGTGAGGAAGACCTTGAGTGGGCGTTGCGTACGCGAAATGAAAAGGTGAGGACAGAAGCGAACCTGTTCTGCATTGGCACCGCGCTGAACAATGTAATTGTGCAGGAACCGAAAGCCGAGAGTTCGAAGTGGAGCAAAGAATCAGTACAAGGAGTTCGAAGTGGAGCGAGGAATCAGTACAAGGGGTCGCACTGAATATGCAGTCAGTGTCGCAACCAGCGCCCCGCCACTCAAGCTTACTGAACACGGTACTGCCCTCTTTTATATCAGTGGGGAGCAGACCACGGTCAGACGGTAGCACTTAGTTTTGATCTGTAGTACCGTCGAAAACTACCCTCTGACATCACCACACTGTTCCTTCTATATTTAGATATGATGCTCACAGAGTGCACCCGGCTCTGGCACCCGTTCACTCTGTCCTCTTCCCCTTGCTTAAGGACCATTCGTATTTGGATATGAAATAGTATAATCATAAAGGCACACATTGTAGCTGTAGCATTCAGCTATTCATCTTCTGTTTTCATGGGAAGAGAGCTTTAACATTGCATTATTTGCAATCATCAGGAAACACCCAAAGGTACGAAACAGGGCGCTTGTACACAGACTACACAGCGTTCGTACTTGTAAGCGTCAGTGTTCGCACAACTGTGTACAACTACGTAGTTTATGTAACAAGTCAACTCTTCAGCTCATACAGTCCACACATACTTATGCCAACTGAATGTGTATTTGCAAAGCCTGTATATTATATTATCGTTGTAACAAAAGTCCTCCACTGCCCTGACTCTTGTAGCTGTCTTGTCATTTAAGTTGCAATCAGGTAGCGTCGGCCTATGGTGGCGGCTGCTGGAGCTGCTCCATTTGCTATGCTACAGTATACTGGATAACCTCTATTTGAGCATGACAGGCTGCCATCGTGCCAGTCACAGTACGGTACTCTGCAGTACCATACCCCACCAATGATGAATATGCCAATGTGTACCCGCGGCGTTGTTATCTCGGCAGTGCTGGGTGAGACCACAGCACTTCGGGTGTCGAGGATAGTATTGAACCGCTTGAGACTGCCTGAGACTGCCTGAGACTGCAGGATCCAAAGGTAGTTATGACTCTGCCCTAAACAAGGATGGTGTCATTTTCATGTACATCTCACATGTTCCCACGGCCACGGTTCAACAACTTGTCTGACGCTCCCTCGTCTCTGCTTCATCTTTCTCTTCTTTCTCTCACTTCCCTCTCGCTGTCTCCATCAAAGTTTCAAAGATCTATCGGTGGGATGGTATGTTATACTACAGGTGTGTCTGCTTGTTTGGATCTGTTGTGAGCTGCAAGCTGAGCATGCACAATGGCTCTTTCATGCTTAACGTGGCACCATTCACAGTGATTGCAAATGCACACCAGTCCGCTAGAGATATGGTTAATGACAACTGCTGGGTATGATCATCTCATGGAAAAGATAAGCGCAGACTTAGCTTGTATAAGCTACTCCCAAAGTAATGCAACAGAAGCTGATACAAGAGAGCTAGTTGTAAGGTTGTGCTCAGAAGATCTAACAACAAAGATACATGGCCATTGTCTACACAAACCCAGCAATACCATGGTAGCAATGCCACTGCGCATCCGGAGAGCATAGATAGTAAGCCGCATGCCCTATCTTCCCGGTGTGTATGACCATTCTGATGCACTGCTCCCCAGTTGCTTCCTCCCCCCAGCAGTCAGTCCTGACTTTGCCCATTGCTGTTGCCATAGCCATCTATATGACCAGTATTGGATCCGCCAGCACTGATGCCATGCTCTCT